CTTTCCAGTCCTTTGTTTGTAGACCATCAATTAGTTTATAATGGTCACACCTTGAACGTCTGTTCTAATATATTTTCATATTCCCGTCGACAGTAACTGGGCGTTACACTATATCAAACAAGCTGTTATTCTAACTCAGATTTTTAGTCCAAGATATGCGGAAAGGTGTCTTGCTGGCCAGCATTACCCAGTACAATGATATTATCATAATGGGTAGAACTTTGCTACTTAAAGTTTTCTGTACGCAATTTGATTGTTTTCTTAACGCCCAGAAGTCAAAACTGATGAGGAAGGCACCACCGATAGTGCGTCGGTCGATGCAAAGGGATGGTCGCAGTAGAAGTCGAACAGTTTAGTATATATGCCACAGTTCTGTAATCTGCAACGACTGTACCAGTCAAGAGAATTAGAGTCGCCTCTGCGTCCAGTACTTGGTGGCCATTGGTGCTAGAAAAGAATATTTCTATGGGCAGAAGTCTGTTCGATCACATCAGTGCTTCTCTACTACTTCTGCAGTATTGTTTTGATGAAAAAGAAGTAAGGCTGGTTTAACAGCGCACAACCATGCTTGCTTAGATACATTGTGAAAGTTCAGGATCCTGAACACATCTCTTATCCTAGATGCAGGCATTCCCAAGTAGCTATATATTAAGAGACTTTGAAGGTTACTTAAATACACTTGGTTGAACATACACACGACTGCTCACGAGATCAGAAACATGTCAACAATACTAAGTCTAGAGGTCAACCAATATCGAAAATGAAAATGAGGCAACTTAGATTGTTTCCAGTTTGAAATCGTTCCTCTGCAACCCTATTTGACTATAGCAAAAGTGGTGAAAAGCTGAGAATAGAGCGAGATTGCAAGCCAGGTAGGTTCTGCTTGTGTCAGAGGCTTAAGGCGATTTCCATATTAAGCAGTAACTGCTTGACCCTACCTGCGATTAATAGAACTAATGAAAGTCAAAATTTGATGAACTGTATCGATTATGTTTGTTTCACTTAGACTGATCGTGCAAAAATACTGTTCTTTTTTATCTTCTTTTTTGTAGAAGCATTGCGAACAAAATCTCTCTGTTATTGTTGATCAACAGAAAATACTGAAGTTTATCGACCTCGCCTCTAACAAGACTGATGGCTATCACGTTCATCAGTTGGAAGAGCTGTACGCGCAGTGCCTACATGCCATTGCTAAACTTAGCGAAGTCTATGATCGGTCTGCCCTACCAAAGGTAAATTCGATCGACGATAAGTCACTTGAATTATACACTTCTGTAGCTTGTAAGCTCTGTTAAAATTAATGAAAAATTTTCATTTACTTGTTCATGCACGCTAGTGAATTTAAATTGCGGTAAGGAGTAGTCATTTTAGTCGAATACAGTCTTTCGATCAAAGGTGCTCCCAGTATGAGTGACCCTAAGCCTGAAAGCTAGTCATAAACTGGAAACTGCTCAAATTAGCATGGAAAAAATGTATCTGAGAATAAGAGGAAAAAATGGAAGATGGAGTAAATAGGTACACCAACATGAGTGCAGTGTCATTATACGCGTAAAAACGTTGAAGCGGCGATAGACAAGACACTTTTCAAGAAGAACCGTCCAATGTTGACCAAAGTGATTTCAAACTAAGTTTTAATAGACAGTAAACGGTCCGGTTGAAGATGTAAATGGCTCGTTGTCCAAGTCATTGGCGAAACCAGCTGAAGAAATTCATTGCATTAAGATGAATGAGAATCGCAGTAAACAGAACTATACGGCAAAGTGTTGGGGACATCTGCATTCAGCAGCGAATCGAAAAGGGCTGACGAGGAAGTTACTTTTATTTCAAAGAAGATAAAAGCTTAGTAATTATAGTACTTCTCTTTGCGTCGCTGCGGAAATTCATTTTCTTGAAAAATATTTTTTAAATAAATTCATCTAAAAGAAATAATAGACGTAATCAG